CAATTTTTATTAAAAATATTATTTTTCAAGAGAATGAGGTCGTGTGCGCATAAAATTTATCGTGCCTAAAATTCATGATAAGAAGCAGAAATAATTATTTCATTTTATTTTTAAAAAGAATGGATTATTTTTCGAGACAATGAGGTCACTTACACATAAAACTGATAAAATAAAGATCCTAGACGGAAATATCACTATTTATTAAAAATAGACTAATTTTCGGGAAGACGATGTCACTTACCCACAAATATTTGAGAGGGAACTTCGATAAAATTTGGCTAGAGAGAGAGATCTCAAAAATTTCTAGGGTAGGAGTGCTCACCTCCCCTATTTAAATTCTTAGAACGTATTATTATAATATTTTATTACGCTCTACCTCATTCCTGAGGTGTCGCGTTAAGCGTCTGCTTTTAACATACGAAAACCACGTCCGTTAAAGGACGTGGCGAGCAGCAGGCAGCAAGAAGCAAAAGCAACAGGCAAAGGCAAAAGCAAGAGTTTAAACCAAAGTAAAAACTTTTGAAAATAGTGATGGTCCTCAAGGACCATCATACTCAAACAGACCATCACCTATTTAAAAGCATCTTTTCTCCTCTTTTTTTTTTTTTTTTGAAGTTTTTAGGATTGTTACAGGTTTGCATAAGGTTAGAATTTAAACAATTAAATTAAGGTAAGATGTAATTTTGGTATTGAAAATTCTTAAGATGGCGTGATAATATATTTTCATCTCTAGTTATAAAATTTTAAGTTTCAAAAATAATTTAAATCAAGCAAATATTTGAACCTATGAAGATCTTAAAAATGGATGGTCTAGATAATATCATCATAGCCTTTTTTCAGTTATTTGGTATCAGCTACATGAATCCCGATTTGTCGTTCTGCTCTATCCAGGGTTATACTTGTGTTGAAGCCATAAGTCCCCATATCTTTTCTCACTATTTCCAACTATGTTCTTTTTAGCCTATCCCTTGTCATGTTTTAGCCTTCTACTTGAAGCAACTCGCACCTTTTAACAAGTGTTGCACTGGGTCTGCACTGTACATGGCCAAATGGCCAACCCACGTAAGTCTATTTTCTCTCATCTAATTGCCTATTAAAGCTACACCTAAGTTATCACAAATATATTCATTTCAAATTCTATCCCTTTTGGTCTTACGACTCATCCATCTCAACATACTCATCTTAGCTACACTCATCCAATGGGTGTCTTGTTTTTTGGCTACCCAACATTCTATCTCATAAAGCAAAGTTGGTCTCATAATTGTTCATAGAATATCCCCTTCAGCTTCATTGGTATACGGTGATCACATAAAACTTTGGTTGCACATCTCCACTTCACTCACCAAGTCTATATGCGACATCTTCCTCAATCTCTTCATTTTCCTATATTATCTACCGAATATATCAAAAGTGTACTCTTTTTAGTATTTCTTGGATGTCAATATTAACTACTTCATCATCTCTGCTCTTATTATTACTAGACTTACATTCCATATATTTTATCTTAGTCCAACAAATTTTTAAGACCTTTAGAGTATCTCTTCAAAGTTTTAACTTTGTGTTGACGTCACTTTGGATCTCATCGATCAAAACTATACCATTCGAGAACAACATACACTATAGTCCAAATAATATGTTGTAACCTATACACTTTTTTTAGGCTGGAAATTTTTTTTTTTTCTCTATATCCATACACCTCAATGTCAAGATTATCCATTAGATATTTTTCCAATATCAAAAACCTTTTTTTTCGGGAGAGAGACTTTTTAGGTGCACCTTAGTTCTACATTTTAAGTCGTCAACCTTATATAAACCTTTTTGTCAATGTCGGTTGATTTTTCAAACCCCAAGGAGGGATTGCTCTTAAGTAAAGAGAAAGAGATGTGATTTTTGTTGTTTTTGGGTGAGTCAATGGGGAGAGGGCCCCTAACCTTGGTAGGAATTGAGCCTAGGATGTAGTGTTATAAGTCGTCAACCACTGACCAATTAAGCCTGAACTCTTTTCCTAATTACTGAGCACCAATAACAATACCAAGAAAGGATTCCATATATATTAAGTTAGAGATTATGTGTACTCTAGGGAATATTTCCTTTATACACTCCCTTGGCTAAAACCAATTTAGAAGGATCGTTAGGACTCCGATTTTGAAGATGTAACTTCTTCAACCTTGTTACACCTCAAAAAGCAGAAAATTCGAGGGCACTCCTCCAATGTGCATTAAAAGGATACATCAAGATTCAGAAGCATTGTCCAATTTTTTATTGAGTAGCTTTTAAGTGTTTAAGAACTCAAAATCCATTCACTAAAAAAAAACTCAAAATCCAAATTCGCTTTTTTAACACCTAAAACACCCAAAAACAAGAACTCAAAATCCAAATTTGCTTCTTAAATTTAGATAGAAAAAATGCTCCTTCGTAAATCTTTCTTATGAGTAAGCAAAGAACATGCTCTAGTAGTATAAACGCCCAATAATTTATAAAAACTCATTTACAAGAATGGATTTCTATTCCTTGAATTTCCATTTGTGTGCCTAAAAAACATAAGAGAGAGAGTAGGTGTGTCACAACATTTTTTGCACCATTCCATTCATAAAATTTCACGAGATGTTGCAGAGATGTTGTAAAAGGTTCTGACCTCTTGAATGATATTTTCCATACAAAAGGATTTTTGTTTTTTTTGGAACGATATTGTTTATTTTATAGATTTTTTTTGAAAAATAAGGCTTATGTAGTTGCAGAAAATTATACTTATCCCTTAATTAATTGAGTGGTACAACAAGGATATATATAACATGATACAACAATAACTTGATAAGGATCCTTGACTGAGTAAATCAACGATACATGTAACAACTAATATTTACAACAAACCAAAATAAGTCAAAGATATATTAACCACTGAAGAATCTCTTTCAAATTCAAATACACTTTCTCTCAACACCCTCCTGCAAGATGAGCGTGCAACTGGGTGAACGGTCAGCTTGTCTCTTAGAACATGAAAGCGAGTAGGAGATAAGCCTTTGGTGAAGATATCAGCAATTAGTGCAAAGCTGGGAATATATCGAATACATAATGATCCCCAGGCAACATGTTCTCAAATGAAGTGATAATCAATATCAATATGCTTAGTATGGGTATGCAGTACTAGAGTGGCACTAACGTTGTCACAATAAATCACAGGGGGGAAGGTAAAAGATATGTAAGTCACGAAGAACAAAGATGATCCATTGAATATCAACAGTTGTAGTAGCAAGGGCGCGATACTCTACTTCAGCAGTAGATTGAGATACGGTAGGTTACTTCTTGGTGTGCCAAGTCAATAGATTCGATCCAAAGAAAACACACATGCCAGAAGTAGACCGACAACTATCCAGATAGCCAGCCCAATCTGCATCAGAGTAAGCCCGAAGTGTCTCATCAGAAGAACATTTTATAGTGATGCCAAAATGAGAAGTTCCTTTGATATAACGAAGAATATGTTTAACCGCAACAAGTTGTTTGGTGCAAAGTTGGTGCATGAATTAGCAGACCTGATTTACTATATAAGTGATATCAGGTCGAGTCATTGTGAGGTATTGTAATGCACCGACAATGTTGCGATAAGCTGAGACATCACTGAGAGGATCACCATCATAGAGAGAAATCTTAGAACCATAAGTGACTGGAGAGGAGAAAGGGTTCGCACCAAGCATTGCTGGCCGTTTAAGGAGATCAATGGCATACTTGCTTTGGCTTAGCTGAATGCCAGACGAAGAACGATAAACCGCGATACCAAGAAAGAAATGTAGGTCACCCAAATTTTTAACCTCAAACCTATTGCGAAGCTTAACAATAATAGTAGATAGAAAGCAAGAATCAGCCCCAGTGAGTATTATGCAATCAACATATAAGAGTAGTATAGTTAGTCCATGGGAGCCGTGCAGAGTGAACATGGATGTGTCAGATGAACTCCACAAGAAACTGAGCTCTAAGAGATAATCATATGATGAATAGAAGTAGAATAAGGAGAAGGACTAGAGGAGGCTGATGGTAAGGAGGACTCAACTAATGAAGGCAAGACCGGGCTTGATTCAAGAGAGGGAGACATGGTTGGTGAAGAGGGAATCTTAGGAACATTTGTAATGGAGTGGGCACCGCAGAGAGAGATGCAACAGTGCTAAAGGGGGAACAATGAAAGCATCATGTGGCAAGGAGATAGAAAAAGGTGGATTGAGCTAATAGTCGATAGAGTCGCTATTAGCGGACCGGTCTTCTAATGACAAGCCTACAAAAGGATAGAGAGATTCATTAAGGCGAACATAGCGAGAAAGATAAATGTGACCAGTGGCCGGATCAAGACACCTGTAACCTTTGTGTTGGGACCGTAGCCAAGAAACACACAAGGAATAGATCTAGGCTCTAATTTATCAAAGGGATAAAAGCCAAGAAATGGATAGTATTGACACCCAAAGCTGCGCAAAATATTGTAATTTGGTGGAGTACCAAATAGAACTTCATATTGAGACTTGTATCCTAAAGTCGAAGTTAGCAAACAATTTATGAGACTTACAGATGTGGAGAAGGCCTCCATCCAAAAGCGGCGAGGCATGCTAACATGGTGGAGGAGAGTAAGACCAATCTCAAGAACATGGCGCTGCTTACGCTCTGCCACTCAATTTTGTTCGGGAGTATGAGGGCAAGACCAACGATGTTGAATACCATAGTTCGACAATAATTGCGAGAATAATTTATTAACATACTCACGACCACCATCAAACTGCACAAACTTGATTGTAGAGAAAAAAAATTTAACCACATTCTTAAATTTTTGTAGTCAACAATCTCAGATTTTTGCTTTAAAGGG